CATCTCCCTGTGCACACACGTAGCCCCGCCCACTGTGTTTCTTTCCCATAGGCTGCCATGCATAACGGCCCTCTCTCTAACATCCCTACACATTCACGGATGCATTTATTTGGGACATTGCGTTTTCGGCACTTTTGGATAAATTGTAAATATCGAGACATGACCCTAACCCCCGTTTTAGCCGCGTGCACGCTAGGGCAGGGGTCCGGCAACCATCATAACAAGAATATACTTTTTTTATTCGATTTTTTTTTCGAATTCGGTAAATCAACCTCAATATTTCCAGAGCCGACGTGCATTGTGTGGTGAACACGAGACGGTGGTTGTTAGCGAGGGCCTGTGAAGGTCGGCACGGCCTTTGTCTCCCCAGTGCGATGTTTCACCGCACCAGTTACTCATTTTAGGCGAAGTCGACCTCGAGGAGGCCTTGGACCGATTCAGATATTGGCCACTGTTGTTGGTCGTTAGCAGGAAATCGAACTGGGGTAGCCGGGTTCGTCGCTGTGAGCTCACCGCTACGCTACCGTTTCCATACACACACACGGAGAGACATACAAAGACAAAGAATCCTCGAATAGCCTTAACAGACTGTAGGGGCAAGTGCTGTTAGCGAGCACCTATTAAGGCCGGCACGGCACACGAGGGGGTGGGTGGCCAACACCACGCCCGGCCGCCTTTGTCTCCCCAGTGGCGATGTTTACACATCCCAGCTGGTACTCATTTGAGGCTGAGTCGACCTAAGGGAGGCCCAGGACCGGTTCAGATCATCGCCACCGGTGTTGGCCGTGAGCAGGGATTCGAACACACACACGGACAGATACACACACACGGACAGATACACAAACACACGGATACACACACACACTGACAGATACACAAACACACGGATACACACACACACTGACAGATACACAAACACACGGATACACACACACACTGACAGATACACAAACACACGGATACACACACACACTGACAGATACACAAACACACGGATACACACACACACTGACAGATACACAAACACACGGATACACACACACACTGACAGATACACATACACACGGACACACGGACAGATACACAAACACACGGATACACACACACGGACAGATGCACATACACACGGATACACACACACACACTGACAGATGCACATACACACGGATACACACACTGACAAATACACACACACGGACACACTGACAGATACACAAACACACGGATACACACACACACGGACACACGGACAGATGCACATACACACGGATACACACACACACACTGACAGATACACACACACACGGACACACTGACAGATACACATACACATGGATACACACACACACGGACAGACATACAAACACACGGACAGACACACAAACATACGGACACACACACGGACAGATACACACACACGGACATACACACACACACGTGGACGGGTCAAGGTCTCCCGCGTGTGATGCCGCATTTGTGGAGGCGAAGAATGCGAATCGGCCTTCAGTCGCATGTAATTAACTACATCGAGGTTCTCCGGGAATAGCTCGCATCACCGCCACAACCACCACCACCACAACCACCACCACAACCACCACCACCACCACAACCACCTTCATTCACAGCCACACGCGTCTCAGGCACTCATCATCGCCGTCGCCATTATTACTATTATATCATCCAAACCATAATCAATATCCTCATCATCATCATATTGTGATCATTACCACTACCATTATCACACTCATCAACACCATCATCATCACTACTAACATCATCATCACGATCAATACCATCAATATCATCATAACCACCACCACCACTCTCATCATCATCATCTTCTAAAGCACCACAACTACAGTCATAATCATAACCATCACAACGACCACTAGCATCGTGCTATTTATGATCAACAACATCAGCAGCATCATCATTAACATCAGCATCATCAACAACATCAGCAACATCATCAACATCAGCAACATCAGCATCAACAACAACATCAGCATCATCAGCAACATCAGCATCATCAACAACATCAGCATCATCAACAACATCAGCATCATCAACTACATCATAAACAACATCATCAACAACAACATCATCATCATCAGCATCATCAACAACATCAGCATCATCAACTCCACTTCTTACTCTTCCACGCTGGCTGGACGTGGGGGCGATCACCCACACTTTACCCCACCTATGTATACCAGACTCTTTATTTATTCTGGAGAAATCCGATGAGCTATGAAGCTCTTTTTCACAGATGTGTTCAGTAGGGGCGGGAACCGCTGGGTGGAGGGAGGGGTGGGACCGGGGGGAAGGGGCGAGGGGATCCAGGAGAGCTGTCGACCTCTGGATGATTGCAAGTCCGATGTGACAGCCATCACGGCGCTGTCAGCGGACTGCCCTCCCGTCTCTCGTGACCAGAGTGAGAAGCCCAGCAGGGAGTCTCATTTGCAACAGCGACCAAATCTATTAAATCAAATTAAGTACAGCAATGAGATAGGCAGCAATCGGGAAGAAAGAACACCACCTCACATGAGGAATCTCAACTCTTTACACGAACGCAAATCAGCGTTAACTCAAAGCTGGATATTAAATTCCCTGCAGCGCAAATCGGCGGGGGCATATTTACCTCTAGATCGTAGCACGAGTAACAAAACCAATCTATACAGAGCATTGCACATTAAACAGATTTAAGCTGACTGTGTTACTAATATGGTACGAATATGTAAACAAAGGAGGGAATATTTCGAAAGTAATGTAAATCCGGGCATGCATCTCTCCACGCTGATTTAATAAAAAGATCACGTTGATTTAAATTGGCCAGGTCCCTTGAGCACTAGATATTGAATAACCCTTTACAGACCGACCGAGCAGGCTGGATGTGTGTGTGTGTGGTTACACACTCTGGAACAAGCGACGTGGTGACATCGCTTCGTGGCGAAAGGCGACTGTTGATGTTGTTTTTGTCCACACTCACACACTCACACGTGCGTGTGTGTGGTGGCCGAGTGGCCGAGTGGCCCACTCAGAAACCGTCACCCCGCTGACGTCCTGGGTGTCAATCCGGGATCAGACGCCCAGCCGAAGTGATTACACGGTGGTCTCATAGACTCACACAGCGTCCCGTAGAGTCTCACAAATAATCACGGAGAGATCCTAAGACTCACGTCGACCCAGTCGTGATTAAACACTCGAAATTGAAAAGCAGAAAACCCCAATTATCTAAATCAGAGAAAGGAAAACTAAATATCAATCAGAGCAAAAAATGCGTTGCAGGAGAAAACGGTGCACGAACATACATCGACGGGACACAATGCATACTTTGATGTTTAAACAGCGATACACTTGCGCGAAAAACATGGGATACGTGGGATGGGAGAACGTAGAGAGGGAAGTGCAGATGTTTAAGCGACGTGTGGAGATGCAAAGAGAGGTGTAGGCAAGGGTGGAGTGGAGATGGGATCACGGGAAAGAGATGGAGCGAGGGGGAAGGGGGAGTTCGCGAGGCAGCGAGAGAGGGGGGCCACGGGGAGGAGGAGCAGGCAGCAGGTGCATCGATGAAGGTGAGAGATGGGAAAGAAGAGGAGACAAGGGGCTATGGGGGGAGAGAGTGGGGGAGGGATAAGGTGGGGGGGGGGGGGGGTGAGACCCTGAGAGATTAGAAGGAGGGAGGGAGCTGGCGGGAGTGGGAGGGCGAATAAGAGAATGCGAGGAGGAGGAGGAGAGGGACTCCACGGGAGAGAGGCGAGCGAGAGAGAGGGCTGAGAGTCTGGAGCGTGAGACGAGAGGACGCATCGCGACCCCAGAGTTCACTCAGCCAAGTTCGAGCCCCTCCACCTCCTCCACTACGATCGCTGCTGCTGCTGCTACGGCTGCGGGTTCTCCGGGAGCGCGGCTCAAGTCGCCACACGGGGAGTGCAATCGTGACCCTTGCGGAGCGCGTCTCGTGAGTACGTGTGTGTGTGAGTGTGTGTGTGTGTGAGTACGCGTGTGTGAGTACGTGTGTGTGAGTGTGTGTGTGTGAGTACGTGTGTGTGAGTACGTGTGTGTGTGAGTACGCGTGTGTGTGTGAGTACGTGTGTGTGCGTGTGTGTGTGTGAGTACGCGTGTGTGAGTACGCGTGTGTGTGTGTGTGAGTACGTGTGTGTGTGAGTACGCGTGTTTGCGTGTGTGTGTGTGAGTACGCGTGTGTGTGTGTGTGAGTACGCGTGTGTGAGTACGCGTGTGTGTGTGTGTGAGTACGTGTGTGAGTACGTGTGTGTGAGTACGTGTGTGTGAGTATGTGTGTGTGTAAGTACGTGTGTGTGAGTACGCGTGTGTGTGTGTGTGAGTACGCGTGTGTGAGTACGCGTGTGTGTGTGTGAGTACGTGTGTGAGTACGTGTGTGTGAGTACGTGTGTGTGAGTACGTGTGTGTGTGAGTACGTGTGTGTGAGTACGTGTGTGTGTGAGTACGTGTGTGTGAGTGAGTACGTGTGTGTGTGAGTACGTGTGTGTGTGAGTACGTGTGTGTGTGTGAGTACGCGTGTGTGTGTGAGTACGCGTGTGTGTGTGAGTACGCGTGTGTGCGAGTACGTGTGCGTGTGTGTGTGTGTGAGTACGAGTGTGTGTGTGAGTACGAGTGTGTGTGTGAGTACATGTGTGTGTACGTGTGTGTGTGTGAGTACGAGTGTTTGTGAGTACGTGTGTGTGTGAGTACGAGTGTGTGTGTGTGTACGTGTGTGTGTATGAGTACATGTGTGTGAGTGAATACGTGTGTGAGTACGTGTGTGTGTACGTGTGTGTGTGAATACGTGTATGTGTGTGAGTACGTGTGTGTGTGTGTGAGTACGTGTGTGTGTGAGTACGCGTATGTGTGAGTACGTGTGTGAGTACGTGTGTGTGAGTACGTGTGTGTGAGTACGTGTGTGTGTGAGTACGCGTATGTGTGAGTACGTGTGTGAGTACGTGTGCGTGTGTACGTGTTTGTGTGTGACTACGTGTGTGTGAGTACACGTGCATGTGTGAGTACGTGTGTGAGTACGCGTGTGTGTGCGAGTATGCGTGCGTGTAAGTACGAGTGTGTGTGAGTACACGTGTGTGTGTGAGTACGCGTATGTGTGAGTACGTGTGTGTGTGTGAGTGAGTAGGAGTGTGTGAGTAGGAATGTGTGTGAGTACGTGTGTGTGTGAGTAAGTGTGTGTGTGTGTCAATGTGTCTTTGGAAACATTTGAAACATTTAGAAACATTTAGGCTGGTCTGCCTACGATCCATCCTGGGTTTAACCAGGCTGGATTGTGTGAGGAGCTCACAAATCCTCGAAAGATCTGGGCAAAGTCCCATCGGTGAGCTCCTCCGGCAGGCAAGGCTGCGCGTTGGCTGGGTCATGTAGCCCGCATGCCCAGCCACCGCATGCCTAAACAGCTTTTGTTCGGCCGGATCGAGGGGGCTAAACGGGAGCGGCACGGGCTGGAGAAGAGATGGAGTGACGTGGTACAGGAGGACGTGGAGCTGAGTGGACTTGCCGATGACTGGTACCAGCGGTGTCAAGATCGGCCTCAGTGGAGGAGGCTCGTGAAGGACGCTACTGCGCAGTTGGAGGCAGTCGCCCTCCGACAACAACGGAGGGCGGAGGAGCGACGCTCACAACAACGAGCAGAGTGCCGTGTGGCTAAAGCACAGCAAGTTGGCACAGTAGGGGGCACAGGTGGTGCATCAGCCAGTCATCTCGGTCATCTCGGTCAGTCGACCCGTGGCACCTGCTGGGTCTGCCCCGTGACCTCCTGCCAGCGGGCGTACGACACTTCACGTGGCCTCAAGGTGCACTTGGCCTGGCACAAGCGTCGTGGTGACGTCACCGCCACTTAGTGGCGAATTTCGGTTGTTGTTGTTGTAAATGGGGGGGCGGTAGAGTAGCGGTTAGCGCGCTAGGCTATGCACCCGTTGACTTGAGTTCGATTCCCGCTCACGGATATCTGAGCCTCCACGATGCTCAACTCAGCCTCGAAATGAGTCCCTGGTGCCATGTGTAGACATCACCACGAGGAAGACCAGGGCGGCCGGGCGTGCTTCTACCAAAACCACCCCCTCAGTAATAAGCGCTCGCAAGCAGCGCTTTCCGCCACGGTCTGCGTGCAAGTATACCCAAGGTGCGTGTGTGTTTGTGTATCTACGTGTGCGTGTATGTCTTTGATTACAACGGCATATACACGGATTGGGAAGGCCTTCATCCAGCAGTGGACTGATCCTAGGTCACAGTGGGAGACGATGCGATGGAGAACCTGCCATGGGCTCGTGTGCGCTCTGTGTATTCACGACTGACATCCTGATGAGACACTGAATATCGGAACCGGTCCAGAGTTTGCTTGTGCTGAACCAACGCTCCTGAGATCATGCGCTTCCAGGAGGGAGGCCGTTTGGCTGATGGGATGCGTAGACATTTACATTGTAGATGCGTGGAGAGAAGGGTGTGGGAAGGAATTGCATCGTCTGTTGGCGTTATTTTGCTGCCTTCGTGTCGAGTTGGGAATTGAAGGGGGCGGCAGGCGAGTCGGCGGGTGAGACGCGACTCATCAAAGGACCGCTCCGGGAGGCTGTCCAATCAAGGACTGCCGCCGTCTCGTCTTCACATCGCATTGCGCCTCTTCAAGTATGTCGAGTATTGTATCGAATTCGATAACAAGAAGAAGTGTTATTTTCGCTGTCGACCCTGGCGCTGCGCGATACCGCTACAGTCTACAAGACTGTAGCAGCACGACAGTACACAGCTACCTCGACTGCTAATGAATGAGACGAACAACCACGTGGCCACACAGTTATGTGTTGCCATGCCAACTCAAAGTTATGTGTTGCCATGACATCTGAAAGCTGCGCGTTTCCAGGACAACGCGAATAATTAATCTAAGAAGTTACTCGACTTGTAACCCTAACAACAGCGAATCGATCAGAACGATCGTGAATCGTTTTCAACACTTGCCTCATCATCATTATCATCATCGGCCGGGCTCCATCCACTGCTGGATGAAGGCCTGCTCCCGACCGCCGCCGCTCTGCGCACCCCGCGTGCTCACGGCTCACCGCTGTGCATGGCGAGGTCTCTAGCGAGGGTGCCGTTCTCTCATCTACGTTGTTCCCATAGCACTCTCTCCATCGCCATCGCTACTATTATTGTTGTTCTTCTTGGTTCTTTCGGTAAAGTCACGTAGAAGGGAAATAATAAAAATGAAACATAATAAAATACAATTCTCACAACGTTTTGGCCACAACGCAAGCAGCCGTCCGCAGGTGAAGAACAGGTCTGACCTGTTCTTCAGACCTGTTCTTCACCTGAGGACGGCTGCTTGCGTTGTGGCCGAAACGTCGTGAGAATTGTATTTTATTATGTTTTATTTGTATTATTTTATTATTTCCCTTCTACGTGACTTTACCGAAAGAACCAAGAAGATGAATCCCTGCAGTCACGAAAGCTTTAAATCGAAATGTATTATTGTTGTTTTTGTTATGGTTGTTGTTATGGTTGTTGTTATTCTAACTCCGCCCGTTCACCCAGGAGAGACGCACCGAGTCTCAACTCTTTATTCGGGAGGCTCCTGCCAAGTTCTCACAGGGAGGGAGGGAGGGGGGCGATATTCTTGCTGCTGCTGCTACTCTGTGATCCCAATGGAGTCCATTGCTGGTAGTGCTTCAGCAGTGTGAGGATGTTTGGCCAACAGCAGTTGCATTGTGTGGCTTATTTAGCTATGGGAGGGTACCAGAAAAGCCGGAGCAACCCCATGCAGGACTGGTTTGAGGACGCACGCACGCACGCAAAAAGGCGCCAGAAACGGGAATCAAATCCCCGCGATTTTCGCTGCGAGCCTCCAGTGGCGCCTTAAAAAAAAGCGTACAAAACTCCCTCCTTGGCTGCTATTGTGTCTTTGAAAATAATAACAAATGATAGCTCTGCCGGATGAAAGCCTCTCCAATCCCGTTATAGTCATGGGAGTTGTTCGACCATACTTCACCACGCTGATCATTGCGGGTTTCCTGAAGAGGGCGGGCGCCAGAGACGGTTCGCATATCGCTCGCCATGGATGTCACCCCGAGTCAGCAATCGAAAGATAAAGATTCCCCGTATAGCCTTCACAGACTGTTGGGGCAAGCACTATGAGCGAACAACTTTGAAGGCCGGCACAGCGCACGAGGGGGTGGGTGGCCATCACCACGCCTAGCCGCCTTTGTCTCCCTCGTGCCGATGTTTACACATCACACAGAGGCGTTATTTGAGGCCAAGTCGACCTAGGGGAGGCCCAGGACCAGCTCAGATAATCTTCACTGGTATTGGCCGTGAGAAGGAATACAACTCGGGTCGCAGGGTCCGTCGCGCAGTGAGCTAACTCCTACCGCTTCCCACACGCAGACACACACACAGATACACAGACACACACAGACACACATACACACAGACACGCCGACACGCAGACACACAGAGACACACAGACACGCACGCAGGCACACAGGCACACACTCAGGCGCACTATATTTGTGAGTGAAGTCACGATAGGAAGCTCACGGATTCAAGGTCTCAGAGACACCGCCATCCACACAGGTGACGGGGAACGAGAGAGCGCTTGCGTGGACAAGCAGGACGCGTCGTGGTCACGAGGGACAGTGACGGTCGAGACGAATAGCGGAGCGGCAGCCGAGGAACGCAACGCGTACCGTGAGCACGTCCCGCCTGGAGACGGAGCGATGATGGGATCGGCGCGGGGTGCGCAGAGCGGTGGCGGCCGCGTTGGGGAGGAGGCCTTCATCCAGCAGTGGATTGCGTGTGGCGGATGATGATGATGTTGAAAACGATTCAAGATCGCTCGCAGTGCTGTTGTTCGGGTTACAAGTCGAATAACTTCTTCGATTACCGACTCGCGCTCACCTCTCCACAAATCAATTCCGAACTCACCGGGTTCCGAAGCAGCGCCCATCGTACGGGTGTCCAACCCGGGTCTTCTTCATAAACTCCGCGGCCTGCAGCTGAGCCATGACGGCCCGAGTCCCGCCTGCATCCATTCGAGTTGGTTCCTCAGGTTCGCTGCTGCCATCGTCTCAGCGACAACGCTGCCATTGTGTTACCTTTACCCCCTCTCTTATTACTCTCCCACTCTATTGTTCTCTGGCTCCGCCCACTCCATCTCACCCTATTGTTCTCAGGCTCCGAGCACCCAGGTGTGTCTGGTGCCAGGTCACCTGATTTGTCGCACGGACCAGTCCCGTCCAGCCAGTTTCCCGGCTATTCGACACGGGAGGTCCGTGGTGCGTGAGCACAGCGGTGACAGCAACTTAAACAAAAACTTGCATACAACTCGAGTCACAGTGTGGGTGCAGTACCGGCCCGAGAGGGGCCCGGTGAGCGCTGAATGACAGCGCGAGATGGCACCACGCTTGGCGTGCAGTGCCAGCCCCTACAGGACAGGGTGTGTGGGTGTCGGCCGAGGGACGAGGTTACTCGAGGCCATGGCACTCTGGTTGACCCGGGAGGACACGTGACCAAATTTAGATGTAAAGCTTTCGTGACTGCAGGGATTCATCTTCTTGGTTCTTTCGGTAAAGTTATTTATTACTTCCCTTCTACGTGACTTTACCGAAAGAACCAAGAAGACACGTGATCAGTTAAGTCTACAAAGGGGCCCCAAGTGGGGGGCTAGGGGTGGTCACGTGGTTGGGACCGAGATTCTTCCCGAGGATTCTGGAAGGTGGGCATGGCCAAGGGCGGAGCCGGCCACGCCGCAGAGAATATCACCGTGTTCATACTCTTAGTTTTTTCGGTAAAGTCACGTAGGTTAAAAATGAAATTAAAATTAATAAAATAAAATAATAAAAATCACGACGTTTCGGAGGCAACACAAGTCTCCGTCATCAGGTGGGACCGTCACAGCCAGATTTGCTGTATCAAGTGAGGCAGGGATTCAAAGATGCAAGTTCTTAGTGTGAAAGCGATGGGTATTACCTTGTTATCGCGGCATCTCTTGAGGAAGATAGGTGAAATTCCTCCCCGTAGAGGGTATTAATTCTAGATTTGACGCTTTCGTAACTGCAATGATTCATACTCTTAGTTTTTTCGGTAAAGTCACGTAGGTAAAAAACTAAAATAAAAATTTATAAAAATTAAATAATAAAATTAAAATAAAATAATAATAAACTAAGAGTATGAATCCTTGCAGTCACGAAAGCTTCAAATCTATAAATATCAGCCGGGTCCCAAGAGGGACCAGGGTGGTTGTTCATCCTGGAAGAAACCTTCGTCTACGTTCTCCGTTCAACGAGTCTCCAACACGTGGACCTGGACTCAAACTGTCGGTCCCGGTCCGTAGTAGCAGTCACGTGGTAACTAGTGTAGTTAGCCTGGTGGTCACCACCTGGGTAACTACACCAGTCACGTGGTAACTAGTGTAGTTAGCCTGGTGGTCACCACCATAGGTTGCTATTCTGTTAAGGGGAAGTTACCCCGTGTGTTGGACTTGCATAAATGTGTTGCCTCCAAGTCCACGCCTGCGACTCATGACACAGCCATGACACAGCCATCGGATAAGCGGAGTCGAGGCGGGCGTTTGAAGGAATATCGCACGGCTAACAAACGAGGTTTGTAGCGCTCGTCGGCGAAACACGCGCGAACGTGACGAACGTTGCGCACGCGATGTGAGAGGAAAGAACCCAGTTTGGCACGGGCGCAAGCGAGCGGTGCGTCGGTCTAGGGAAGGGAGGGGGGGGGAGCCAGGTTGGAGGGGGGGAGCCAGGTTGGAGGGGGGGAGCCAGGTTGGAGGGGGGGGGGAGCCAGGTTGGAGGGGGGGGGCAGGTTGGAGGGGGGGAGCCAGGTTGGAGGGGGGGGGAGCCAGGTTGGAGGGGGGGAGCCAGGTTGGAGGGGGGGGGAGCCAGGTTGGAGGGGGGGAGCCAGGTTGGAGGGGGGGGAGCCAGGTTGGAGGGGGGGGGAGCCAGGTTGGAGGGGGGGGGAGCCAGGTTGGAGAGGGGGGGGAGCCAGGTTGGAGGGGGGGGAGCCAGGTTGGAGGGGGGGGCCAGGTTGGAGGGGGGGGAGCCAGGTTGGAGGGGGGGGCAGGTTGGAGGGGGGAGCCAGGTTGGAGGGGGGGGGGGCCAGGTTGGAGGGGGGGGGAGCCAGGTTGGAGGGGGGGAGCCAGGTTGGAGGGAGGGGGGCAGGTTGGAGGGGGGGGAGCCAGGTTGGAGGGGGGGGAGCCAGGTTGGAGGGGGGGGGCAGGTTGGAGGGGGGGAGCCAGGTTGGAGGGGGGGGGAGCCAGGTTGGAGAGGGGGGGAGCCAGGTTGGAGGGGGGGAGCCAGGTTGGAGGGGGGGGGCAGGTTGGAGGGGGGAAGCCAGGTTGGAGGGGGGGAGCCAGGTTGGAGGGGGGGGCAGGTTGGAGGGGGGGGAGCCAGGTTGGAGGGGGGGGGAGCCAGGTTGGAGGGGGGGGGAGCCAGGTTGGAGGGGGGGAGCCAGGTTGGAGGGGGGGGGAGCCAGGTTGGAGGGGGGGGCAGGTTGGAGGGGGGAGCCAGGTTGGAGGGGGGGAGCCAGGTTGGAGGGGGGGGGCAGGTTGGAGGGGGGGAGCCAGGTTGGAGGGGGGGGCAGGTTGGAGGGGGGGGGAGCCAGGTTGGAGGGGGGGGGAGCCAGGTTGGAGGGGGGGAGCCAGGTTGGAGGGGGGGGCAGGTTGGAGGGGGGGAGCCAGGTTGGAGGGGGGGGGAGCCAGGTTGGAGGGGGGGGGAGCCAGGTTGGAGGGGGGGGAGCCAGGTTGGAGGGGGGGGAGCAGGTTGGAGGGGGGGGCAGGTTGGAGGGGGGGAGGGAGCCAGGTTGGAGGGGAGGGCCAGGTTGGAGGGGGGGGGGGCCAGGTTGGAGAGGGGGGAGCCAGGTTGGAGGGGGGGGCCAGGTTGGAGGGGGGGCCAGGTTGGAGGAGGGGGAGCCAGGTTGGAGGGGGGGCAGGTTGGAGGGGGGGGCAGGTTGGAGGGGGGAGCCAGGTTGGAGGGGGGGGGAGCCAGGTTGGAGGGGGGGGGGAGCCAGGTTGGAGGGGGGGAGCCAGGTTGGAGGGGGGGGGCAGGTTGGAGGGGGGGAGCCAGGTTGGAGGGAGGGGGAGCCAGGTTGGAGGGGGGGGGAGCCAGGTTGGAGGGGGGGGGGAGCCAGGTTGGAGGGGGGGGGAGCCAGGTTGGAGGGGGGGGGAGCCAGGTTGGAGGGGGGGGGCAGGTTGGAGGGGGGGGGAGGGTAGCCAGGTTGGAGGGGAGGGCCAGGTTGGAGGGGGGGGGCCAGGTTGGAGGGGGGGGAGCCAAGGTTGGAGGGGGGGCAGGTTGGAGGGGGGGAGCCAGGTTGGAGGGGGGGGAGCCAGGTTGGAGGGGGGGGCAGGTTGGAGGGGGGAGCCAGGTTGGAGGGGGGGGGGAGCCAGGTTGGAGGGGGGGGGAGCCAGGTTGGAGGGGGGGAGCCAGGTTGGAGGGGGGGGGGCAGGTTGGAGGGGGGGAGCCAGGTTGGAGGGGGGGGGAGCCAGGTTGGAGGGGGGGGGAGCCAGGTTGGAGGGGGGGGGGAGCCAGGTTGGAGGGGGGGGGAGCCAGGTTGGAGGGGGGGGAGCCAGGTTGGAGGGGGGGGGCAGGTTGGAGGGGGGGAGGGAGCCAGGTTGGAGGGGAGGGCCAGGTTGGAGGGGGGGGGGCCAGGTTGGAGAGGGGGGAGCCAGGTTGGAGGGGGGGCAGGTTGGAGGGGGGGGCAGGTTGGAGAGGGGGGGGAGCCAGGTTGGAGGGGGGGGGAGCCAGGTTGGAGGGGGGGGGGGAGCCAGGTTGGAGAGGGGGGGGGGGGAGCCAGGTTGGAGGGGGGGGCAGGTTGGAGGGGGGGGCAGGTTGGAGAGGGGGGGGGAGCCAGGTTGGAGAGGGGGGGGGAGCCAGGTTGGAGGGGGGGGGCAGGTTGGAGGGGGGGGGCAGGTTGGAGAGGGGGGGGGAGCCAGGTTGGAGGGGGGGGGGAGCCAGGTTGGAGAGGGGGGGGGGAGCCAGGTTGGAGGGGGGGGGAGCCAGGTTGGAGAGGGGGGGGGAGCCAGGTTGGAGGGGGGGCAGGTTGGAGGGGGGGGCAGGTTGGAGAGGGGGGGGGAGCCAGGTTGGAGAGGGGGGGCAGGTTGGGGGGGGGGCAGGTTGGAGGGGGGGGGAGCCAGGTTGGAGGGGGGGGGCAGGTTGGAGAGGGGGGGGGAGCCAGGTTGGAGGGGGGGGGCAGGTTGGGGGGGGGGCAGGTTGGAGGGGGGAGGAGCCAGGTTGGAGGGGGGGGGGGGCAGGTTGGAGGGGGGGGGAGCCAGGTTGGAGAGGGGGGGGAGCCAGGTTGGAGGGGGGGAGCCAGGTTGGAGGGGGGGGGGAGCCAGGTTGGAGGGGGGGAGCCAGGTTGGAGGGGGGGGAGCCAGGTTGGAGGGGGGGGGAGCCAGGTTGGAGGGGGGGAGCCAGGTTGGAGGGGGGGGGAGCCAGGTTGGAGAGGGGGGAGCCAGGTTGGAGGGGGGGGGGAGCCAGGTTGTAGGGGGGGAGCCAGGTTGGAGGGGGGGGGAGCCAGGTTGGAGGGGGGGAGCCAGGTTGGAGGGGGGGGGGAGCCAGGTTGGAGGGGGGGAGCCAGGTTGGAGGGGGGGGAGCCAGGTTGGAGGGGGGGAGCCAGGTTGGAGGGGGGGAGGGAGCCAGGTTGGAGGGGGGGGAGCCAGGTTGGAGGGGGGGAGCCAGGTTGGAGGGGGGGGGGAGCCAGGTTGGAGGGGGGGGGCAGGTTGGAGGGGGGGGAGCCAGGTTGGAGGGGGGGGAGCCAGGTTGGAGGGGGGGGGCAGGTTGGAGGGGGGGGGGAGCCAGGTTGGAGGGGGGGGGGCAGGTTGGAGGGGGGGGGAGCCAGGTTGGAGGGGGGGGAGCCAGGTTGGAGGGGGGGGAGCCAGGTTGGAGGGGGGGGCCAGGTTGGAGGGGCGCCAACAGAACTCGCGGCCCCCGTGGCAGCGCTGCAGTGGCTCGGGGTCCTGCTCGTTGAACAGGGCCCCGAGGCGTGGGTGGGTGGAGAGCGCCTATTGGTGTTGTTGTTGTGATCGCGAGTTCGCTCGTTTTCCCACGAGACTCCTTAGCAGGAGGGTTCTGACAAAGTTTGTCGCAGCAGTCGGCGCGATTGCTGTGGGTTTTCTCGATTCACGTGCGTTGCTGAATCTACACATAACCACCATTTGTATCACGACCACCAACCATCAACACTCGATACCACCTCCAGAACCACCAGCAGCCTCCCACGCTCTTCCAACCACCACCAAAACCATTCAATTATCCCTCTGCCACCACCACCGCCACCACCTCCACCGCCACGTTCCAGACCTGGTTGCACGCAGGAGGCGGTGATGGGGGAGTGCGGGCGAGGGGAGCTGTGTGGGGGGTACGTGAGCGCCCGGGGTCTCCCCGTGGACCCCTTCATGTGTCCCCGCGAAGGGGATGAACCGGCCCACGTGCACTGCTGCGGATTCGCGGACTTAAAGTACTGCTGTGGTGACCCGATCAGCTACTACGAGTACGACTACACCTACATGCGCGCGCTCAGGTGAGCACGGTGGCAAGGGTGAGTGGGTGGTGAATTGGTCACATCAGAGGTGGTGAAGGGTGACAAGCGGGTCGTGTCTCTGCCGTGGCGCCTCCCGCAGCATCGGCCTGCTGCTCGCGCTGAGCGTGGTGGCGCTCACCCTCATGGCGTTCGTGGTGAGCGTCTGCGCCCTCTGCTTCCTCTTCCACTGCACGAAGCCCAAGACGGCGCTGCGCCACGGCCTGGCACTCGAGGCTGGTGAGCCGCTAACCTCACCCACAACGGGCTCACCCACAACGCGCTCACCCACAACGCGCTCACCCACAACGCGCTCACCAAGCAATCGTCCACTCTGCTCACTCGTTCGCTAATACGCTCACCTATTCCCTGACCGACACGCTCACCAAAAAGCTCAACCACTTGCTACTCACCTATACACTCACGCACCCACTCATCAACTCATCCACCTCCAAGACAAAGTTCCCCTGTGTAGCCTCAACAGACTGTTGTGGCAAGCGCTGATAGCGAGCACCTATGAAGGCTGGGAAGCACACGAGGGGATGGCTGGCCCGCCTTTGTATCCCTAGTGGCGATATTTACACACCGCACTATGAACTCATTTCGGGCTAAGTCGACCTAGGGGAGGCCCAGGACAGGTTCAGATAATCGTGAACTGGTGTTGGCCGTGAGCGGTAATCAACCTCGTGTCACAGGGTTCATAGTGCAGCGCGCTAAACTCTGCACTACCGCTCCCCACAAACACCCACCCACATATACGAGTGTGATGGGCTCAACTAAGTCGCATGAACACCAACCCTAGTCCCTCTCGGGACCCGGCTTATATTCTCTGTGGCGTGGCCGGCTCCGCCCTTGGCCACGACCATAATCCTCGGGAAGGATCTGGGTCCCAGTCACGTGACCCCCCTAGCCCCCTCTTGGGGCCCCTCTGTCAACTTAACTGGTCACGTGTCCTCCCGGGTCAACCAGAGTGTCATGGCCTCACACGACCCCATCCTTCGGTCGGCACCCATACACCCTGTCCTGTAGGGTCAGCACTGCACTCACAGCCTGGTGCCATCCAGTATATACTCAATCACACACACTCATCCATATACTCACTGTGATGATGAAAAGGATGCTGCTGATGTTGATGACGACGATGTTGATGCCGACGATGTTGATGACGATTCTGATGACGATGCTGATTGCGTGCAGGAACCCGCGAGGGGGGCAGCATCAACCCGGCCCCCCACGGCCCGCTGGGATCTCCGCTGTTCATGCGCAGCACTCGCAATCAGCCCAGGGGCCCCCCAATCGGGGTCACCCCATGCAAGCCCCCCAGCAACAACAACGCCAACAACAATAACACGAGCTCTAACAACACGAACCCCAACATCCACCCGACCCCCATCAGCAACATCCCTTACACTAACCCCAACCCTAATCATAACCCCAGCAATATTCAGAACCCGAATATCACTAACACTAACAACACCAACAACCCCAACGCCAACATTCAACAGCATCTACCGTAACCCCAACAAGCATTAACCCATCAAACACCCTCACGTCGATAACGCGACACTTACTCCATCGATGATCCTCACTCGCACGCGTCCCTCTCGCTGTATCTCAGTGTCATTCCACGTGGCCGTGCGCACTGTTCAGTTTGCGTTACACGGCCATCGTCAGTGTCCACGTTCTGATCCGCACGTCACGGCGGGGCGGGTCCGTGGCAGAGCGCACGGAGTGAAAACTCTCTCCTTGGAGGCCCTTCGCTCTGTCGCTTCCTATCGTGGAGCTCGGCTCCACCAAACCTCTCCACCACGCGGCTCTCGGCCGCTTTGATCCCGGGCACCCTTCAGTATCCGCCCTGGGTACACACACACGCGTACTGCTCTGCTTACAGTCGTGTCTCTCCAACGATTTAACTTTGGCCACCAAAATCGCCCCTTACCACGTCTCGCGCTGCCACAGGCGATCTGAGACGGTGACACGTGCCATGGGTATTGAGCCTTGTCTCCGGGTTGCGTTCTAAGAGGCGCGCTTGCTCTCCCTGTTTTTTTGATGGCAAAGGTTGGGCAGTGCATTATATTCGTATGACAATTTTTTACGTGCGTATTATAATCCGGTGTAAGTGTATCTGTGTGCGAGTACAGATCTGTTAAAACTGCATTGGCACCGACACTGGGCGCAGATGTGGGGTGCGTCTTACTTTCGGGGGCGTCGTATAATCCGGACAGTACGATACATTTTTCAGCATTGGGATGTTGCTTTGGCCAATAGTAGTTCCACTGTGTGGGGGGGTTTTGCTATAGGAGGAGGAAATCGGAGATCCCGGACGAAACCCACGCAGAACAGGGGGAGAACAGAGAAACTCAACAGAGAAAGTGACCCGATTCGGGAATCGAACCCAGGCTCTTGTTGCCGTGAGGCTCCAGAGTCACCGCTGCGCAGCCACCTTGCCGCATGAGGCTAAAGTGAGTCTCAAGACTCTTTGGCAAGAGGGTCATGCCTGCTTGGAATGTTTGAGGGAATTATTTCTTTGGAGGGGGAAATGAAGTCGTTGCTGTTAAATTATTATGATTGTTGTGGTTGTCATTGTTGGTGCGAATTGAATGTCTGTAAGACAATTGTTTATCTCGTTTAAAAACTCGATTGCCTGAGTTCATCACCATTGTCATCATCGTCCTCATTACAATCACCTTGAGAATGAGCTCTGGGTGATCACGATCCCAATCGTCAGAATCTCTCGTGAACATCATCTCCATAAAGCCCAGACAACAACAATGAGACAAATGTCAACAGTGTAACAATAGGAAACCTAAAGCCAGGTAGATGGTCGTGGTGACGAGAATTAAACAGAGAGGGATGATGATGAAGATCTACCCCAGGCCGCTATAGCATTGAGAGAGGTGGTGAAGTGGACAGCAGCTTTCAATGTCATTGTCGGGATTCCGCGTGTTTACCCAGGAAAGCCTCGGTGAGTCTCAAGACTCTGTTTCAGAAGGGTCCCGTCCAGTTTTCACAGTAGGGGGGGGGGGCGATGTTGCTGCTGTATGTGTGATCCCAATACAGTAATTTGCGATGCAATTTTTTATTTGTTAAATGTGGACCATGACGCTGGCACATGGTGGCCTCCTTCTGCGAGTGACACAACGGGATCTTTAACGTCTACTGTGAGTGAATCAGACGGCGCGTGGTACCATCACGGTGAATACACAACTGCATTATTAACCAGGGCGGCCACTGCAATAGAACCGCAAACCTCTGCAGCAGAGCGGCACCCGCGCACTGTGTACAGCAATACGTCCAACGCTAAACGTGAAACTTCACTTTTTTTTATTGTATGTGCTTATTTGAAAAGTTATATTTTTAACGAGTAACATTTGCAGTTGTACAAAAAAAACTGCTAAGATGAATAAAAACAAAAAACAAACACGTATTTGCGGTCTTAAATACTTAAAGGTAACCCGTCTCAAACCCAAACACTGTCAAAGTTTGATTCCAAAACCAAGTCACATGCAAGCCTTTCAGTTCAAATCTCTAAATGACGAGAATAAGGGGGAATGGCGTGAACGACACGTGGAGGTGTGCAGCATCGCATTCTCACTCTCAGCTTTGTCCAGATCACTAGCTCAGAAGTGAACGAGTGGCCACGTTGTCTTTTGGACCACCAATTCTCAACTGTTTGCGATTGTGTTTCTTTGACGACAAAATGGCCCCGCATTCAGTTTGTTGTCTGGATAAGGCTGAGAAGAGTGTCAGTTGCAAGTGACACCACTCTGCCATTTAGGAAGTTACAACGTGTCAATGTTTTCCTGCTTAAATTTATCTTTGGCAGGCAATTTTTGCCTATTTACAGCTCTCATGCTGTGTTGGAGATTCCAATGTAAAGGACAGGATACAACAACATGGCTGAATGAAGAAAGAATAGTCCAGTGCTAGATTAAGGCCTTTCAAACGCCATGCCAGTCTTGGGGGCTATTTTGTCATACTTTACCTCGCTGGTCGGTGCAGATTGGTGAAGGTGACAGAAGGCAAAGATCGGTTCAGATATCACCCGCTGCTGATGTTAGCCGAAGTTTGGAATCGAACTTAGGTTTCCAGGTTCATAGCGCAGTGTGCTCACCGCTACACCACCGCTCCACCCCATGTTATACATTTGTGTGTATAAAACAACCAACAATGGCTATCAGCTTAAAAGTCACACTTATCCGAAAAGTATAGAAAACATAGCATTGTACAGTACAACACCACTACCGCCTTGCAAGTATCCTAGGTCTAGGCGGATACGTAAATTGGTGGGATAAGTGAGAATCTACGGAGGATGACAGCCGTTACACCGTTACCGACAGGGATGGAGAGAAAGCAGAATGAACGCCGCAGGGCAACGCTTCGCCGGACTCTCCAGCCAACGTTCGCGCGGTCAGGAGCTCACTAATGCTGCGTGTGACTAACTCGGATTCGTTAACATCTGGAGCAAATGACAGGAAATTAAGCCGTGTACCAGTCCCGCACTGCGTGTGGGCGATTAATTGGTCGGGGCGGATAAGCGACGGGCTGCGTTACATTTCACCGCCGTACAAAACTGCCGGGTGCCAACGGGCATAGGCACTGGATACAAATACAAACGAGTGCAACAGCAGCAGAATCAAACTTAGCCCCCAGTCCAGGGAGGTAAAAAAACCAGGAATGTCAGCTTCATGGTTTTACAATCTTAACGCCATATTTGAATAAAGCATTATCTTAAAAAGTCAGCATACCAGCGTTTGTAGGCCTGTGTTCAAATAGCAAAGTTAAAGAATTATCCCCAGATTTTGGGTTTCCCCAAAAAGTTTACAGTTTTGAATCTCCCCCCTCCCCCCCAGTTACTATATTCTCCGGATCGTTGCATGATCCGGAAAGTGAGAGACACCCAACACTTGTGCCCAATATCAATAAAATTATACAGATCTGGTCACAAACACACAGCCACCCGATTATGCTGCTGTTGGTTACTGAGTTATATGCGAAACAACGGACAAACTTGTGAACACATCAGTAGAAGCATGAATATTACGATCTAGCATGTTCAAGCCTTTAACAACACCAATACCAAGCTCCGCCATTCGCCACTCCGTGACGGTGACGTCACCAAAGCGCCTGTGCCAGGCTAGGTGCACTTTGAAGCCACGTGAAGTGTCGAAGGCTCGCTGACAGGAGGAGGTTTCGGGACAGACCCAGCAGGTGTTATGGGTTAGCTAACTGAGATGACCGGTAGATGCAATACCAGCTGCACCCCCTGCAATGCCAACTTTCATAATTTTACCCGCCCGGCGCTCCGTTCATTGTTGTGAGCGTCGCTCCTCTGTCCTCAGTTGTTGTTGAAGGGCGACTGCCTCCAACTGCCCAGTAGCGTCCTTCACGAGCCTCCTCCGCACTTACACAAACAAACAAAGATCCCCCGTATAGCCTTAACAGACCGTTGGGGCAAGTGCTGTTAGCGAGCACCTATGAAGGCCGGCACAGTACACGAGGGGGTGGGTGGCCAACACCACGCCCGACCACCTTTGTCTCCCCAGTGGCGATGTTTTTAAACACCGCACCAGGTACTCATTTGAGGCTGAGTCGACCTAGGGGAAGCCCAGGACCGGTTCAGATAATCGTCAGTGGTGTTGACTGTGAGCAGGAATCGAACTCGGGTCGCAGGGTTCATAGCGCAGCACGCTAACTGCTACACTACCGCTCCCCTCTGCACTTACACACACACACGTGGACATTTAAATATATCCGTGCATCTTGTACTTTACAAGTAAAAAGATTAGCACGGCCGGCTACGTACGGTGCGGAAGAAGGTCAACATACATACAAGTAAAAGCTTCTCCCTGTCCATTCAAGCCAATGCAACTGTGGTGGAAATTCCACATTCCCATGACCAGGGTCATTCTATCAATGATGATGAATGACGATTATCAATGATAAGGTTGTCTGTGAGTGCAATCAGCATGCATAGAAGAAGTTATATCGGTGCGGGCGAGGCCTGCATGAGAAGGAGAGTGTGTGGCATGGCCTGTGGTGGAGTAGATGCCTGGTTTGTCTGAATGGAGTAGAGGCCTCGCTGTATGAATGAGGCCTTGCATTAAAATAAGAGACTCTGGGTGAGGCCTGCATGGAGAGGATAGATTAAATGTGCGTGGGTGAAGATTGCATGTGAGTAGATGCCTCTGTGTATGCATGAGGCCTGTAAAGAAGGAAGAAGCTTTGCACACGACGATTCTCTGTGGGACGAAGGCTGCATGCGGGGAAGAGTGAGGCCTACGTGGGTAGAGGCTGCGTGGGCGAGGCCTGCGATGGGCAGGAGAGTGAGGCCTGCATGAAGAGAGCCCCCTCTGCGGCCCCCCTCATGGCCTGGCGGTGCTTCTCCGTGACGGCATTTTGGGCGGCAGGGTGTCCTGGCCGAGGTTCAGCGTCTCATTCTTCAGAGACTCCAGCTGCATGTCGATCTCCTGAAACATCGGCCTCGCGTCCGGACTGCGGGTGGCATGGGGCAGACACGGAGACGCGGGGGTGAGGATCGCACGGGGAAGGGAGACACGATGCTGGTGGATGATGGAGGTGGTGGATGATGGAGGTGGTGGATTGTGGAGGTGGCGGATGATGGAGGTGGTGGATGATGGAGGTGGTGGATGATGGAGGTGGTGGATGATGGAGGTGGTGGATGATGGAGGTGGTGGATTGTGGAGGTGGCGGATGATGGAGGTGGTGGATGATGGAGGTGGTGGATTGTGGAGGTGGTGGATGATGGAGGTGGTGGATGATAGAGGTGGTGGATGATGGAGGTGGAATTGTTGTGTGGGAGACACAAAGGTGGGAGGGAGCGCCTCACCTCAGGTTCCAGGCCGCGAGCATGATTTGGTAGACGGGGTCTGGGCAATGTTCCGGTTTGTCCAGACGCATCCCGCTCTCGAGGAACACCAGCACCTCGTGGCCTTTCATCTTCTACACACGCGCACACATGCAGAGACAAAGATCCCCCGTATAGCCTTTCACAGACCGTTGGGGCAAGTGCTGTTAGCGAGCACCTTTGCAGGCTGGCATGTCAGCCTGCAAAGGGATTGGGTAGCCAGCACCGCGCCAGGCCCCACCTTCGTTTTCTCAGCCTGATGTTCGCCCACCGCACCGGGTATTCGTGGACCCATGACCGGTTCAGATATTCGTCACCGATGTTGGCTGTGAGCTTGAATCGAAATCGGGTCGCCGTAATGCAGTGCGCTAACCACTACACTACCGCTCGCCATACACTCAGAGATAATCCAACTTTCATTCTGCAGAACAGGGGGGGAACTTACAAACTCAACACAGAGAGGGGTCCGAGTTGGGAATCGAACCCAGGCACTCGTGGCTGCAAGGCGCGAGCGTCACCGCTGTGCTGCCTACTCCTCGCCACTGACTCCATCCTGCCGCCTCCATATCCTCACCCTGCCTGCGAACCCCCCCCCCCCGGCCCCCCCTCCCGTCACTCACCGGGTAGGGCTTGCTGCCAAAGGAGAAGGCCTCCCACATGGTCACCCCGAAGCTCCACACGTCGCCCTTGCTGGTGAAGCGCCGGTAGTTTATGCACTCGGGCGCGTACCACTTTATGGGCCAGCGGCCCACATTCGATGCCTGGGGACAGTGGGGAATGGGGGGGGGGGGGGGGCACAAGACTTGCGGGGTCAGGCTGAGGACTGCTGCCCGTTGGGACGGCCACATTGCCCTGACAACTTTTTTGAGTAGGCGATCTAAACAACAACATGGCCACACGTGCAGTTCTTTGGAGCTGGCGGTCTGGATAAGGCTGAGAGCTTTTTGTAGGTGCAGTGATGCACACCTATTGTGCGTTGTTAAACACGAGTGGCTATCGCATGGCTAGACTTGCCCCTACCAAAAGAATGTGGAATTTCCACCACTGGCTGTGGCTAGTCCATCGGTGATGCAGAAAATGGCGGCGCACAGCACGCCACATCCAGTTTAGCCTCCTGCAGTCAGCCTCCTAGCCACACCAGAACACATCTCCACCCCGGCACACCACATCGACCGTGGCGACACTCCAGGCAGGCACCTTGTAGTACTCGTCGTTGGCGAGGGCCTTGGAGAGGCCGAAGTCGCTGATCTTGGCGTAGCGCTCGTTCACCAGCAGCACGTTGCGCGCCGCCAGGTCGCGGTGCACGAAGTTGCGCTCCTCCAGGTACTTCATGCCGGCCGACACCTGGTGCATCAGCTCCAGGATGTTTTCCACCGGCATCGTGCCGCTGTACCTCCGCCAACAACCACCGTCGCCACGGCGATGTATTATTATTATGATGGTGACGATGAGGGTGACGATGATGGTGAGGGTGATGGTGAGGGTGATGGTCAGGGTGATGATGCTCGTTGACCCAGGAGGCTTCACCGAGTCTCAAAACTATTTTTCGCAGGAGGGGGCGATGGTGCTGCTGCTGAGTGTGATGCCAGTTGATTAATTTGCAGGTGATTACTCAGGATGGAGATGTTTACCCAATACCGGTTCCACTGCGTGTGTGTGTTTGTTAAGTTACGGGATGAAGCAGGAGAACCCAGAGCAAACCTGCACCTTGTGTGAGGGGGCAACACTCTATCCCACACCTACAGCTGGGAACAGATGTCGATTAGCCCACTTGCTGTACCGCCTTCTGCTGGCGAATCAGGGTACGGCGCCTCTTGGACTCCCATGGGAAGGGAGTTTCTAAACATCTGTGTGTGATCCACTAACCCCTCGCCTCTGCCTCCACAGCTCTGGGTCACGGCAGCCACATGCAGCAGAGTAGCGACCACCACGGCGATGGTGGTAACGTCACGCACCGGTGCAGCGACGTCGCGCACCGGTGCGGTGACGTCGCGTACCGGTGCTCGCGGAGGTACTTGTTGAGGGCCCCAAGTGGGGCCATCTCCATGACGAGCATGAGCGCCTCTCCCTCGCACACCCCGAACATCTTCACGATGAACGGGTGGTCCAGCTGGTGCATCAGCTCCGCCTCCTTCATCAGGTCTTTCTTCAGCATCTCCTGGTTCTCCACGGGCTTGAGGACCTTCACGGCCACCTGCACCTCCTTCCTGCTCGCCAGAGAGGTGGTGGTGGAGTGTATTGGTGGTACAGATGGTGGTGATCGAGGTTGTGATGGTGGTGGAGATGGTGGAGACGGGGAGACGTGGGGGGCAAACATCGAAAGACTGTTCGGTCACGCCTGCAAATGACACTGCCACCCCCTGGCCTGTTGAGGGTCCCGCCTGGTTCCACAGAACAACAACCCCAGAGACCCGAACTGCGAGCCCCCGCACGGTACCCGTCACGACGCGAGTTCCGCGTCCGCGATCGCGAGCCCCCCACTCCGCCGTACCCCGCCAAGGTGTAGGTCCCCTTCTGCACGGTGCCGAAGTTTCCCGAGCCCAGCTCCGTGTTGTGCTGCAGCTGCAGGAGGTTGCGGTTGAGGAAGATGCAGCGGAGGTCGCTGAGGTCGCTGTACACACCCTCCCCTTCCGCGTCGCTCACCGCAGCTCCGGGCAGCGGCGGCTTCGAGTAGTACACGTTATTCTGGACCGGGCCTAGGGACACGGGGGGGGGGGGGGACACGAGGAGGATACGGGAGGGATGCAGAGTTAGAGGGATACGGTGGGGACACGGTCTCACTCAGGCAGGCATGTCGGCGGGGTTGCCCGCAAGGGTGGTGCAGGTCGTTACCTGGGTTCTCGATGGGCGGCTCCGGACTGGAGAATCCATTGGTGATGGCCTGTGAATAGAGGTAAGTTCCAGTCACCATCACCGCCATCATCATCGCCATCATCATCACCATCATCATTGACATCACTATCACCTTCACAAAAAGCACAACCATCATCAGCACCATCAAAACCACAACCATCATCACCACCACCATTGATCATTGTCATCATCAGCCATGATCAATCCACTGCTGAACGAAGGCCACCCCAAGCTGTGTGACCGGGATAAATGCACAGCCACCTTTGTCTCCCCAACGCGGATGTTTACGAGCCAATCTAGTGACTCAGTTCGGGCTGGTTCAGATGGAACTCCCTCCATTCGTGCAATAGGATTGCATACAAAGACAAAGATCCCCCGTATAGCCTACATCGGGGAGAAAGTGTCACACAGTCGCGCAAAGACAAATACATAGACACACGCACACTCTTACACACACACACAAAGACACACGCACACTCTTACACACACACATACATAGACTTGCGCGCACTGTTACACACGGACATAAAAAGACACACTGTCACACACACATACATAGACTTACGCACACACTGTTACACACACATACATAGACTTACGCACACACACATACAAAAGACAGACACATGCATTGACACGCGTGTACACACAATCACATCCACCTACTCATTCATTGCATGGACACCATCATGACCCCCCCCTCCCCACCGTGTCAGCTACAATGGGAATCCACAACAACATTAGCCTCCTAATGGGTGTCCCTGCTCCGTGGATAAGGGATGGAGCCCATTAGCTCGACGCTGAGTCGAGTGAGGTCGATGTTCTGCTCATCTCATCATTGAAACAGCGGTGCTCGCCTGTTGTTTACAGCCGCTCACCAGCCACGCGGAGCCAGCGATGTAAATTACACATTCCTATGGCAGGGGCGAGTCTGTCCACAGGATACCCGCTGCTGATGCTTCCCCACAAAGTGGTGCTTAATTGTATCGACCCCGGAGGGAGAGATGATGGGCCGAATGAACAACACCTCACAACCAGGATTCTAAACTCGCGACCCTCCAATCGCGAGCCGCTTGCTCCACCGCTGAGCCACACAGCTGCATACGAAGTGACGCTGAACGTTGTTTGTTTACCATTCTCCTGATGAAGGCCAGAGAGCTGAAACGTCGAGATTTAGAATGGGTTTTCTTCGCTAAGATTAAAAACAGTTGTATTTTAATTTCAACAAAATTGTATGGTATAGGTGGCAATGCTGGGTGTGTGGATGAGTAGGTGGGTAAGGAAAGTGTATGGTTGAGCAGGCAGATAGGTGGATGACTACATTGGTGGGTAGTGAGTAGGTAAGTTTTTGGGTGATGAGAAAGGTAGGTGGGTAGGTAAGTGGGTCGATAGGTGGGTGGGTATGTGAGTAAATATATAGGTAGGTGGCTGAGTAGGTAGGTGAGTGGGTAGGTTGGTAGGGCAGGCAGGTAAGTAGGTGTGATGGCAGGTAGACAGATATGCAGGTGAGACAGAAAGTCTCTTTGCAAGGGAGATATTGGACATCATTACTTTAGCCATAACCAAACACTGCAGTTAGATTTAACAACACACAGAGGTGTGCAGCACTGCACCTACAAAAGCTCTCAGCCTTGCCCAGACCACGGGCACAAAATGACTGCACGTGCGACCACGTTGTCGTTTAGGACCCCCAACTCAAAAGGGAAAATGTGGCCGTCCCAACGGCGGACAGCCGCGGTGGAACAATGTGCTTCCCTAAAACGATCACCGCGGCATCGCCGGGAGCGCGACCGTGGCGAAGTTCCGAGCTGCCGACCGCGTGAGCGGCGAACGTGCCGTGCACGCAGCGCCTGATCCACGCAGCCACCGCTGCTGCTGCCATTGCCTCCGTGCAATTGGTTAGAAATAAACTACGAAGCGTTCGACTCAAACGCGCGTCGCGGTGACCGTATTCTTTGGGTCTTTCGGCAAAGTCACGTAGATAGGTCAAAATTTGTTCTTTTCTTTCAACCTATCTACGCGACTTTACCAAAAGACCCAAATAATATGAATTCCTGCAGTCACGGAAGCTTTAAGTGAAGATTTCAGTCGAGACCGGTTTCGTCCTAGCTAGGTCTCATCAGTACGGCACAGTCATCCATGTTCGCCGCCGTCATCTGCCTCGTATGTGGAGAGGGATTAGATTTACACCGTGGGCACGCCGTTAGCATTCGAACTGGAGGCAAAGGCCCATCCAGACGTGTCCATGACGAGGGAGGCCCGATCCCAACAGACGGAGACTTCCTCGACCGTAGCGCCACGATTGATGGCTGGACAGCGCCATCTGCGGCTCGCACGGAGTAGCCGCTGCAGCTTTGGCTCGGCCATTCGACCGGCGGGTTGATTTTGGTTTTTGGTTAACAAAGTGGCTTTAACACACAACGTCAAGCGGTCAGCAACAAAGAGCACCATCAAAGTTTTGAAGAGATAAGAATTAAGTTATTCTTAAATTGATCATTCACGGGGACCAATGGCCTATGATTGATGATGAATCGTCACGTGTGGTTGTATATCGAGCGTCGTCATGTTTGGTAGCAAATTGTGTCTCTCAGATTCAGAAGAACCACAGACTCGAGCTGGATGGCAGCAGCAGCAGCAGCTAGGCGGTGGCGGTGGTGGGACTGGTGATAAGACGGCGCTACCGACGATTGCCCAAGCTCTGCGGTCCTCCACACGGGGGCGGGGGAGGGAGTGGATCTTTCCCTTCGTAGGTGACCTACCGGGATGAGGTTTTTCAGCCGCAGGGCGCTGGGGAAGGATGAAGAAAACCAATTCTTGCGCGTGGGTTCGTGAGTTCTCGCCTGCTGCGGGGTGGGACGGACACAGACAGTGCAGGATTCATCCCCTTGTGTCGCGTAGGGACAGCTGCCACTAGGGGTGGGGTCCCTATGTTGGACGGCAGTGCGTTGTGTTTGTGTACGTGTGTGTATCTGTGCGCACCTCTCCGTATGTCTGTGTGCTTGTGTTTATAATTATTCTTACGTGTGTGTGTGTGTGTAACTACGTGTGTGTGTGTAACTACGTGTGTGTGTGTAACTACGTGTGTGTGTGTAACTACGTGTGTGTGTATAACTACGTGTGTGTGTGTGTAACTATGTGTGTGTAACTACGTGTGTGTTCATCGGTGCTCGCTAACAGCACTTGCCCCATCAGTCTGTTAAGGCTACAGGGGAGATATTTGTACATGTGGACACGTGTGTGTGTACATTATGTGTGCCTGAGTGCGTAAAGTTACTGTGTTGTGTGTTTACTTGCATTGGTGTGTCATGATGCGTTTTCATTTGATTTTAATTCAACTCACATCCACGTAGTTTCCATACAGATCTGAAAGAAAAAAAACGCGCACACACGAGGGCATCACACACCACTCCAGCTCTCACATCCACCTCAACTATTACCAACTAACCACCACCTCCACCATCACTACTACCACACCACCACCATGATCTCCATCTGCACCACAACATCCTCCACCATCACTACTACCACACCTCCACCACCACCATGATCTCCATCTGCACCACAGCATCCTCCACCATCACTACTACCACACCTCCACCACCACCATGATCTCCATCTGCAACACAACATCCTCCACCACCTCCACCACCACCATGATCTCCATCTGCACCACAGCATCCTCCACCATCACTACTACCACACCTCCACCACCACCATGATCTCCATCTGGACCACAACATCCTCCACCATCAACTAAACCACCACCTCCACCACCACCATGATCTCCATCTGCACCACAGCATCCTCCACCATCACTACTACCACACCTCCACCACCACCATGATCTCCATCTGCACCACAAAATCCTCCACCATCAACTAAACCACCACCTCCACCACCACCATGATCTCCATCTGCACCACAACATCCTCCACCATCACTACTACCACACCTCCACCACCACCATGATCTCCATCTGCACCACCTCCTCCACCATCACTACTGCCACACCTCCACCACTACCATGATCTCCATCTGCACAACAGCATCCTCCACCATCACTACTACCACACCTCCACCACCACCATGATCTCCATCTGCACCACAACATCCTCCACCATCAACTAAACCACCACCTCCACCATGGCCGTGACCTCCCCCATCGGCAGCAGCACGTGCTGTACGGGTGAGCGTGGAGACCGTCGACTCACCGTGTACTCACCGTGTACTCACCGTGTACTCACCATACACTCACCGTGTACTCACCGTGTACTCACCATACACTCACCGTGTACTCACCGTGTACTCACCATACAGTCACCATACACTCACCGTGTACTCCCCCACGTATCGTGCACAGACCCACGTGATGTGTACTCACCCACGTACTCCGGGCAGATGCACGCCTCCCCGAGCGCGCACATGAGTCCATCCTCCTTCATACTGTAATGCTCCACCATCTACGGGGACACGGGGACACGGGGAGAAGGAGTCAGACGCAAGGGACACGAAGACACCCCGAGCAGTCATCGCGACGTTCCTCTGTAACTCGAGGCAACTTTGTTCCAAGCGCGTTACAATTTGCTGCGACTGTTGCACAAACAAGGGCTGCGATTGGCTGAGTCAGGCTGACATGCCCATCATGGATTAACGTGGCCAAATGTGTTGTCGTGAAACCCTCCACCAGCCGACATAGCCAAACAAATTAACTTGTCCGAGCCCATAAAAAGCACAATTTCAGCATCGTCACATTGGTTGCGACAACGTGGGCGTTGTCTCCGTAGCTTACAAATGTTTTACAAAGCGGAAGAGCGGAGGAACTTGCGGTATTTGACAAGAGGATGTTGAGCAAGGGCGCTTAAAACGCAACTGGGCTTGTGAGAAACAACGCTGCTGGCCTGTCTACCCCGAGCCTCGGTTCCTTACGGCTCGCATCGCCACCAACATCGAGCTCGCCGTCGTCATCGTCATCCCCACTGCGTTATCAATGTTACTGTAAACACGCTCGCGTCAAAAAATTCGAACGTCTACAATCTTCTTGGTTCTTTCGGTAAAGTCACGTAGAAGGGAAATAATAAAATAATAAAAATACAACATAATAAAATAATTCTCACGACGTTTCGGCCACAACGCAAGCAGCCGTCCTCAGGTGAAGAACAGGTCTGTCGGAAAGCTCATTCAGACGCTGTCTTTCCGACAGACCTGTTCTTCACCTGAGGACGGATGCTTGCGTTGTGGCCGAAACGTCGTGAGAATTATTTTATTGGTTTATTTTTATTATTTTATTATTTCCCTTCTACGTCACTTTACCGAAAGAACCAAGAAGATGAATCCCTGCAGACTCGTCTACAATCTGTTGTTGCCTTTCATGGCGAAGCGATTTCCTGCTCAAACAAGCATCGAGGCGATAGTGCTCGTCTCCTGTTGACAGCCCTGCAGAGCCGGTGGTGGAAATTCCACGTGTTTATGGATCCCGCTTACTTGGTGTGGCTTACTGTGTATGGCTTACTGTGTATGGCTTACTGTGTATGGCTTACTGAATAACCCCAACTCTTATAACGACCTCTCCTAACTCATAGCAAGTCTGTATCTGGGCACGACTCACTGATGAACCCGAATTATGATGACGATGAAGCCCCATACACTCCTCTGGTCAATAATTTGCAAGCTGTAACCTGAGTCTGACTCACCCACGACCCCCGCAATTTCAAATGCCCAACACGACAACGCCGTGGGTTCTCAATGAACAAACAAAACCCCTCCGTCGTGTGTGTGTGCGGGGTGACCCCCTTGAGCGGCAACCCAACCTGCCACAGGGCGTCAAACTTGCGGCCCTCGGGGATGGACAACTTAGTGGACTTGTCGGTGTCCACCACGTAGTGGAACACCTTCTTCTTGAACACCAGGCTGATGGCGAACGAGCCCCCCGTGTTCCGCTGGCGGATCCTGCACGCGGGTTTGTGGATGTCAACGACGTTTGACTCGTCAGCCGATTCACACGTTTCACCACCCCGAGACGTCGAAGTCGAACCCTGACGAGTGTACGTGCACACACGCACACACTCACACCCACACACGCACACACTCACACCCACACACGCACACACTCACACACGCACACACTCGCACACACTCACACACTCACACACGCACACACTCACACTCGTACACTCACACACGCACACACTCACACCCACACACTCACACTCGCACACGCACACACTCACACTCACACACTCCCTCACACACACTCGCACTCGCACACACTCACACACGCACACACTCACACCCACACACGCACACACTCACACTCGTACACTCACACACTCGCACACGCACACACTCACACCCTCACACGCGCACACTCGCACACTCTCACACTCGCACATACTCACACACATGCTCACATACACACTCACACACGCACACTCACACACTCATACACACACACTCACACACTCACACACACGCACACACTCACACCCACACACTCGCACACGCACAAACTCACACACCCACACACTCACACACGCGCACACTCGCACACTCACACTCGTACACACACACGCACACACTCACTCGCACACGCACACTCACACTCGTACACTCGTACACTCACTCGCACACGCACACGCACACACTCACACACTCACACTCGTACACTCACACACTCACACACTCGTACACTCACACACTCGTACACTCGCACACTCACACTCGTACACTCACACACTCGCACACTCACACACTCGTACACTCACACTCGCACACGCACACTCACACACTCACACATTCACACTCGTACACTCACACCCACACACTCACACACTCGCACACTCGCACACGCGCACACGCACACACTCACACTCGTACACTCACACACTCACACACTCGTACACTCACACACTCGTACACTCACACTCACACACACTCACACACGCACACACACTCACACACTCACTCGCACACGCACACTCACACACTCACACATTCACACTCGTACACTCGCACCCTCGCACACTCGTACGCTCACACACTCGCACGCACACACTCACACGCACACACTCACACACTCGTACACTCACACACTCGTACACTCGCACACTCACACTCGTACACTCACACACGCACACACTCACACACACTCACACACTCGCACCCGCACACTCACACACACGCACACACTCACACTCGTACACTCGCACACTCACACTCGCGTATACAAGGCAAGGATTCCCCGTGCAACCTGAAGAGACCGTCGGGGCAAGTTCTGCAAGCGAGCACCTTCGAAGGCCGGCACGTCACACGAGTGGGTGGGTGGCCAACACCACACACGCACACACACACAGCACACATGCATTGACACACATACGCACATTCTAAATCGATAACCTACACGGGATGCGGGTAAACAACGACTATCACGCCCAGTTGCACACACTGGGCACTGCTGTCAAAGGATTTCGTTACAAATTCACGAAGGCGGTGATGATGGTGGTGGTTGGTCGTGGTGATGTAGGGTTGTGTTTGTGGTCTTGACGGTAGTGGTGATGTTGAAGATGGTGGTTGTGTTACTTCACCTACAGATTCAATAACCCATCAACTTAACAAGTCACTCATTTAAGCAGCTAAAGGGGGCCACGTGTCTTGATGGGATCGGGGTGATCATTGTTACAGGAGCTGTGCGCCTGTGTGGTATGGGGGGGGGGTCTCTGTATATGTAGGTGTGTGTATGATCGTGTATGTAGTTTGTATAGTGTAGCGCGCTGCGCTACGAATCCGGCTACCCGAGTTCGAATCCAGCCCACAGCCAACACCAGTGGCGATTATCTCAACCAGTTGCGGGCCTCCCTTAGGTCGACTCATCCTCAAATGAGTACCTGGGGCGGTGTGTAAAAACATAGCCGATGGGGAGACAGCGGAGGTCGAGCATGAGACAGGGAAGAAGAGTACATGGGGTCCATTCCTAAACCTTAGAACAGTCTTAAATACCTGAGCCCGGAGTGGTAGCAATGACCTGGCCAACCCCCCCTCCCTCCCCCAAGAAAAATTCCTCCCCCACCCCGCGCTGATGAGGCCAGTGTGCCTGATACCATCGGTGCGACTGGTAACGCTGTCGATATTGTCAGGATGCTGCAATGTGATGATGTGAAGATGTGGAATACTAAATATTTTATATATATACAAAATATTGTTTGGGTCTTTTGGGGCGCCGGTAAAGCCATGTCGATAGAAAAATAATAAAATGATCACGTTTCAATCGCAACGCAAGCAATCGTCATCAGGTGAAAAAGTACAGCGGGAGAGCTGCTGAGACACGAGGTGATATGGGCTGGAGATGGGCTCAGCCCAAGGGTAAGTGGGCGAGGCTAGAGGTGGAATTTGCATGTCAATGTAAGATCGGTGATGTACCACCACGACGACGACGCAGCCGTGGAGGTGGCCACTGTATTGCGAGAGATTAGCGTGTCAATGTCAACGAGCCACCGCACCGGCGGCTGTGCTAGTGAGACATCCAGCTCGTTACAAAAAACGAGGGACAACACCACATCGAGGAAAATGATCAACGGTGGCTGTGTTAGTGAGACATTTAGCGTGAATGTCACTCAGAGACACGGAAATAACTGCTGGCATCGGCAGGTAGGATGGAGACATCAGAGCCAGTTATGACTTAACCTGGTTAATAACTATAATAACATCCTTCTAATGATTGCTCAATTTGCATCCATCTTCTCGGTTGAACTTGTGTCTGTGTTCATATATCTGGATGGCTTCATGAACGAATCTTTGTTGATAGCCAGTGGGCTTGCAGAGTACCTTCGTCTTGGAAAAATCTATTTCGTGTGAGCCCACCGCATTAAAACAATGATCAGCCACGGCCGAGGTATTGGTCCTACCGCGTTTCAGATCTGCCTTGTGTTCACGAACACGGTCCGAGACATGTCGCTTAGTTTCCCCAATGTAACTACTGCCACAGCCGAAGCTTAGTTTGTAGACGCCGGGGTATTGCATGTCTGGGATCCTTCACAGATGGAAGGACGTCATTAAGGAGCGAGTACCTGGCAGTGGTGTGTATAAAACACAGCACTGGGTGGTGGTGGTGCTGCTGTGCTACACCACCCCTCGTGTGCCGTGCCGGCCTTCACCGGTGCTACTCGCTGCCGGCCCCAACAGCGTGCTCGAGGCTACGCGGGGACCTTTGTCTTTGTGTGCCTGGCTACAGAGGGGCCCATTGTGTGCGCGCAGTGGAGGAGCGCTTGATGGCCGCGGTGCCGGGGTTTTCGTGGCGTCTCTACGAAGCCGGGGGGAGAGGAGGAGGAGGAGGGGGGTAGTTTGAGTTCTCCAGGAAGTGGTGGCCGCAAGCGGAACTCGAGCACAGCAGTATCAGCAGCGCAAATGTCAGCCCCGGGGTTGGTGGATCACACGTTTGATCCCGAGACCCCCCCCCTCCCGATCCCGCGAGGCTGTCGCGAGCGGGGAGCGGGGCCGGGTTCACGCAGCGCGGGTTAGGGAGCTCCAATTGTATGCCCCCCCCCTCTCCACTCTCACCGTCTCACTACCCACCCAATATATATGTAGAGGAGTAGTGGAGAGTGGTGGCGTCGTGTGCGCTGTCCGGTGCGGTGACCTCACGGGACGTGGGGTCGCACGCGCTGGGCAGTGCACGTGACATCACCCCTCCGAGGGTATATAAGGGAGACCCCAGTAACGTAAGCGGGGTCACTGGAGGAACGGGGATAGTGGAAGGGGTAAAGAGGGAACCAGGGATAGTGATAAGTGTTAATAAACCCTGGCGGAAGCCCCTAACTCAACCTCCGTCTCCGAGTACCTCCGTCTACGATACAACAACTGGTGTCAGAGTGTCTGCACTGCTGCTACAATGTTTACATCGGGAGCGGAGCGCAAGAACCCAGCGACGGGACGATCGGAGGATGAAGACGGCGGGGAGGAGGCTTCGGCAGTGACCCCGGAGTCCGGGGCTCCGGTGACAGGCCCCGAGAAGACGACGGGCGGGGGTGCCAGCTCGCCGCCACCACCGCTGGAGACGGGGAGCACCCCTGCAGACCTGCTGAGGCAGCTCCTGCAGGCGATCGCGCAGCTTTGCGCCCGTCTCGACATCGCGGAGGCGAAGTTGGGTCCTCCCGGTCCGCACTCGGGATGGGAGCAACTGTCAACTGCCGGGACGCCGCGAGAGGCGGCCGCCATCTTCGCCGCGACGCCCCAGCTGGCTATTTTGCCTGCGACGTCGCCAGCGGCGGCCATGTTGGTTGGGGCGCCTCAGGCGGCCGCCATTTTAACTGCGACGCTGCAGGTGGCGGCCATTGTTCATGCGACGCCGCACGTCGGCGCCATGGCTGCCATGGCAACTGCGACGCCGTTGTCCACCGTGGGTGCCGCCGCGACTTCGCGCCACACCGCGCGCGCGGGGTCTGCCAGCGGCGATGCCACAGCTCCGCACCATGCTGCGCCCGCCGGGGGAGCCCCAGGTACGTCCGGGGCTCCACACCTCGCCGCACCACGGGAGTTGCCGAGGGTGCCGCCGTGGTTCCGGCCATCGCCGCGCTGGCGGGGTACGCTGCGGGTGTCGCCGTGGCCCCGTGCATCGCTGCCGCGGCTCCTCACGATGCCGCGCCGCGGAAGTTGCCGCGGTTCCGAGCATCGCCGTGCCTGCGGGGTTTGGCGCGCCCGCCACCGCGGCTGCTATAGTTGCCGCGGCCGCGGGGTGGGCCGAGGGTCACGCCGGGGCACCGCACCTCGCTGTGCATGCGGGGTTTGCCGCCGGCGACGCCGCACCAGGCTGCTATTTTGCCTGCAGCGATCGCGGTGGGGGCCGCCGGCGACGACGCGGCCCCGCACCTCGCGGTGCCTGGGCGTTGCCATGCCGACGCCGCGGCTCTGCATCTTGCCGCGGCATGGGCAGCAGGAGCCGCCGCTCGGGCCGGCGCGCGCCTGGCAGGAGCTGCGTTGGGCTGCTGGGCTGCTGCGGCTCTCCCGGGGCCTGTCACTAGCTGGCACGGTGCCTGCCCTGGCGATTCGTGCCACATGGGGAGGCGTGCGCTCTGTTGATGGCCTGTGGAAACGCTGCCGTCGGCCTCCAGCCCTCATCGCTCAATTGTGTTATGTTGGCGTGTTTTGTCTAAGACTGCCCAATTGTCCGTTTTGGTGTGTTTTGTCTGGGCTGCTCAATTGTTCAATTGTTGTTTGTTGGTGTGTGTTGTCTGGGCCATCGGGATTCCGCCTTTGTATTGATGGCAGCGCGTGATGAGAGTTTCAAAGTTTTGAAATTTGATTGATTGTTGTCATGCTGCCTGGATGTTGTCGGTTGGTTGTGAATATGTTGGTTTGTGGTTCTGGGACTCCTCTACTTTTATATTGTTTACAGCCGAGTCGGCTGAATTTTTTTCACAGGGGGGGGTGATGTAGAGGAGTAGTGGAGAGTGGTGGCGTCGTGTGCGCTGTCCGGTGCGGTGACCTCACGGGACGTGGGGTCGCACGCGCTGGGCAGTGCACGTGACATCACCCCTCCGAGGGTATATAAGGGAGACCCCGTAACGTAAGCGGGGTCACTGGAGGAACGGGGATAGTGGAAGGGGTAAAGAGGGAACCAGGGATAGTGATAAGTGTTAATAAACCCTGGCGGAAGCCCCTAACTCAACCTCCGTCTCCGAGTACCTCCGTCTACGATACAACATATACATACATCACCAATTTTTACTGATCGACGTGGAGAAGTATGGCTCAAGATGGCTCACTGACTCACAGTGATGGTGGTTGGTTGAGAAAGTGTCGGGGGGGGGGGGGGGGCACTGCACCATGAACCTGGCGAGCCGAGTTCGAGTTCTGACCACGGCTAACGCGGAGCAAGTGACAACCGAAACCGGTCCTGGGCTTTCCTTCACCAAGCCGCATTGACCAGCGTGGTGAAGTATGTTCAAACAACCCCCTATGATCGACACGACAGTGGACTGCCGGCCGTGAGTTGTTCCCTTCAGAGTGTTCGACTTCGCTGTGTCCCTCTGGCGCTCACGAGAATGCGCCGAGTAGGTTTCGTCGTCCACGCTAGATTCGGGACTCGTTGTGACGGGAAGGCCCCCCCCCCCCCATGGGTGTCGAGGGCGAGCCTTGAACAATGAACGGTCCCTTTGCTCGGGCGTGGAGACGACCGCGAGGGAACATTTTGCCACCACGCAAAATCAGCAAAGTTCTGCATTGCATTCTTAATTTGCGCTCGTTTTTATCACCACCGAGTCTCAGGCCCTCTTGTCAGGAGGGCCATGCCAAGTTTCCGTGGTAAGGGGCGATGTTGGTGCTGCTGCTGCGATCACGATGCAGCCAAACGACGTTTGGCCATCAGCGGCCCCGTGGTGTGGAGCGATTTCAAGCTCTAGTACGAGGAGGAAGAGGAGGGAGCCGGAGACCCAGAGGAAGCCCGCGTGAATCAGAGGGGAGAGACAGAGAGAGAGAGGCACCAGTGGCACCACGGCGCCGCCAGCCCCTGCCGTGTTGGCTTGGTGGTGGAGGCCGAAGCCAGGCCGCACCAGAACGAGGCCCTCTTGTAAGCGGGTCGACGGATTCGCGATGCCACTGGGCGGACGTTATGGAAGCAGCAGCATCAGCTGGTAGCCGTGGCGATTTGCTGAAGCAAACAGCAATGCTAACACCCCAAACCACCAATACACTTCCTCAATCTTGTATGTAAAAATATAAAACTATAATTATTTATTAAGCGAAAGATCCCCTTTTGTTGGGTCTGAACTGATTCACGCATATCCACGTGAGCACATACACTGTATGTACAACTACACAATCATACACAGAGGTGTGTGTGTGTTTGTCTATACAGGTGTGAGTAAATGCGAGTACAGGTGAGTGAGTGCATGTGGAGGTGAGGGCGTGCGTGTCCAGGTGAGAGATTATATACAGGTGAGTGACGCAGATGAGCGTGTGTACAGGTGAGCGATTGTGTACAGGTGAGTGGCACAGGTGAGTGGCACAGGTGAGTGGCACAGGTGAGTGGTACAGGTGAGTGGCACAGGTGAGTGGCACAGGTGAGTGGCACAGGTGAGCGCGTGCGGGTACACACAGGAAGCGGCCGTTGGGCACTTGGCGCTGCGACAAGAGTCGCTCCTCGGACGTCTTGCGGGAGATGGAGCCGTGGAACCACGGCAGCTTCTCGTGCAGAGACGACGCCACCTCCTTCTCCAGGTCGGGCCTCTGCCTCGCGATCAGGGCGTCCGCCTCCGCACCCTGCACACAACCGCACCCCATGCACCACACCGCACCGCATGCACCGGACCGCACACACCACACCGCACGCACCGTGCCACACCGCACGCACACACCACACCGCACGCACCGTGCCACACCGCACGCACCACACCACACCGCACGCACCGTTCCACACCGCACGCACCGCACGCGGGGAGAGGGCCAGGGAGGGGCGCAATTTAGCGGCGTGCACAAAGGTGCATTGACTGCGCAGAAGCTCTCGGCCTTACGTAGATCACCAGTTCAGAAGAACTGTACCGTGGTCATTGTTGTATCAGGCCCAACTGCATGGCCCGAGTTTGTCCTCGAGCCACGTTTGTTTTTGGCTCCGGTGCCACGCGGCGCTCGTTATGGGCCCAGAATTCCTGCCATGAGCCCTCCACCACCCGACGGGACCGTCACGCTGGCCATCGGCTCCGGTGAGCGTGCGCGTGTCTCTCTGCCGCGTGGAGTCTGACTGAGAGAGCTCCTCCTGCTCGTGGCTCGGCAAGCACCCACGGGTTCAGGTCGTCAATGGGGACTCGTCTGTTTGGTCTCCGGCCTGCACTCATGTCTCTGTTGTGACGTGGGCCCTAAAGATGATCCAAATAACTACCGACCTATCTCAATTTTATCCCCGTTGATGAACATTTTTGAAAAATTATTGAACTACCAAATTAGCAGTTTCCTGTCCGCCAACAATCTATTACATCTAAGACAATCTGGGCTCCGAAAAAAATACAGCACCACATCTGCTGTATTAGACTCTCCGAATCACATTTACAATAGCCTTGATAATAAGCAGTACTGCGCCTGTCTTTTTCTTGACTTGTCCAAAGCTTTTGATACAGTAGACCACAACATCCTGCTTAGTAAAATAAGTTGCCTCGGTTTTTCCGAAAACACAGTAAAATGGTTTAAAAATTACCTATTTTCTCGCACCCAAACTGTATTCACAGATGGTTGGAGGTCAAACAGTGTTCCGATAACAAAAGGGGTTCCACAGGGTTCCATTCTCGGCCCCCTCTTGTTCTCTCTTTATGTAAATGACTTGGGCACTGAACTGGAGCATTCCAGAGTAAATCTTTTTGCAGATGACACGGTACTGATTACTGCTGGCTGCTCTCCGGATGACGTGATTGCTAAGCTCCAGAGTGATTTCAACAAACTACAACATCAGCTAGTTGCTCTTAAACTAGTCCTAAATCCTGCCAAAACCAAGGTGCTATGCTTATCACCAGGACTAAAGCAGGGAGTTATTTTCCCCCAATTACATTCCTTAAATAATGATCAAATACAGCAAGTCAAGATCTATAAGTATCTTAGGGTCATCCTGGATTCAAAATGAATTTTGAAGATCACATTGATTATATTGGGAAAAAGACAAAAATTAAAATTGGTTTTCTATATCGACACAAGCACTGCTTCCCTCCTATGTTCCGTTTGGAATTGATTAAAGCTACCGTACTGCCTCTACTTGATTACTGTGACATCGTGTATAAATCAGCCCCAAGTACTGTACTGGAAGAAGCTTGACTCAATGTATCACTCGGCCTTAAGATTTGCATTGAACTGCCCATATAGGACTCACCACTGTGATCTCTACATTGGGTCAAACTTAACATCTCTGAATGTTCAACGGCTTGTGCACCAGATCTTATTTATTCATGATGTACTTACAAAAAAATCCGCAGGTTACCTGCTGGATCTCCTCTCTGTTTCAAAGAACAAATTTGACCTAAGGTCTACACTTATTTACCATCTTCATATTCCCTATTGCCGTACATATACTGGAGGAAGGGCTTTTGCTATTGATGCCCCCAGGGTCTGGAATGCTGTTGCCAATAAATTGCAACTTTAGTCACTACCTATGAGATCTTCACTCAAAACTGCTCTAGAGGAGTTGTACACCCCTAGCTGCCAGTGCTATTCAGTGGCCTAAAATAAAATGTTTCGCTCCAGATGATCGCTACAAAGTATGACCTGTGTTTTGATTTAGTGTGCTGATTTTAAAGGTGCATTGAAAAATTATAATACTCCGATTGATGCTTCTGCTGGTGTGGAGTGACTCATGCAACCAGCTATGGCTGCAGGGTTTTGGTAGTACATGTTGTTTATGTCATTTATTGTGAAAATTCCGTCACAGTTCCTATGATCACTGTTTCATTTCTTTCATGGCTTTATTTTGGTGATTTCGAAAAGTGTATTGGTTTAGCCATGTTTGTTTGTTGTAGTACGGAGTAAGACTGATGGCCTTAATCTAAGCTGTCTTGTGGTTGTTATTGTTGTTTGACTTGCATCCCACTGGGATTTTTGCACACAGCGTTGGTGTACGTTGTTTTTCTGCAATATTTTGCTGTCTTTTCTTGGATTTTCTGTTTGCACTTAGTCACGTATTCACTTTAAGATGTTTTCTGGTTCATGTTTTTGTTTTGTTTGTTGCGGTTGCACCCGATTCAAGAGCCGAATGGCTCACAGGGCTATACCTAATACATTAACTTGAACTTGATGTAGTGGTGACGTGGTGGTGGTGCTGGTGGTAACAGGCGTGGCGTAGTGGTGGTGTGGTGGTGATGGTGGTAACAGGCGTGGCGTAGTGGTGACGTGGTGGTGATGGTGGTAACAGGCGTGGCGTAGTGGTGGTGTGGTGGTGATGGTGGTGGTAACAGGCGTGGCGTAGTGGTGACGTGGTGGTGGTGGTGGTAACAGGCGTGGCGTAGTGGTGACGTGGTGGTGGTGGTAACAGGCGTGGCGTAGTGGTGGTGCGGTGGTGATGGTGGTAACAGGCGTGGTGTAGTGGTGACGTGGTGCTTGTGGTAACAGGCGTGGTGTAGTGGTGGTGGTGTGGTGCTGGTGGTGGTAACAGGCGTGGCGTAGTGGTGGTGTGGTGGTGATGGTGGTAACAGGCGTGGCGTAGTGGTGACGTGGTGGTGATGGTGGTAACAGGCGTGGTGTAGTGGTGACGTGTGGTGATGGTGGTAACAGGCGTGGTGTAGTGGTGGTGACGTGGTGATGGTGGTAACAGGCGTGGTGTAGTGGTGGTGTGGTGGTGATGGTGGTAACAGGCGTGGTGTAGTGGTGACGTGGTGGTGATGGTGGTAACAGGCGTGGTGTAGTGGTGGTGACGTGGTGATGGTGGTAACAGGCGTGGTGTAGTGGTGGTGTGGTGGTGATGGTGGTAACAGGCGTGGCGTAGTGGTGGTGCGGTGGTGATGGTGGTAACAGGCGTGGCGTAGTGGTGACGTGGTGGTGATGGTGGTAACAGGCGTGGCGTAGTGGTGGTGTGGTGGTGATGGTGGTAACAGGCGTGGCGTAGTGGTGGTGTGGTGGTGATGGTGGTAACAGGCATGGTGTAGTGGTGGTGACGTGGTGATGGTGGTAACAGGCGTGGCGTAGTGGTGGTGCTGTGGTGATGGTGGTAACAGGCGTGGCGTAGTGGTGGTGGTGTGGTGCTGGTGGTGGTAACAGGCGTGGCGTAGTGGTGGTGACGTGGTGATGGTGGTAACAGGCGTGGTGTAGTGGTGACGTGGTGGTGATGGTGGTAACAGGCGTGGCGTAGTGGTGGTGGTGTGGTGCTGGTGGTGGTAACAGGCGTGGCGTAGTGGTGACGTGGTGGTGATGGTGGTAACAGGCGTGGTGTAGTGGTGGTGTGGTGGTGATGGTGGTAACAGGCGTGGTGTAGTGGTGGTGGTGTGGTGCTGGTGGTAACAGACGTGGTGTAGTGGTGACGTGGTAGTGGTGGCGTGGTGGTGATGGTGGTAACAGGCGTGGTGTAGTGGTGGTGTGCCCCCCCCCCCTCCCGTCACCTCCACGTGGTACTTCTTGTGCACGTAGTCTCGGATCGTCTGGTCCTTGACGTCCTCGAAGTATCCGCTGCGCGGGGGGGTCCCGTCGGGACGGTGGCAGGGCGCCGCGAGGGGACAGCACAGTCCGTCGGCGCCGTGCTCGTGGTGTGCGCACAGCTCCGCGGGACCCGCGTGCGTACGGCCCCCGTCGATGCCGCACCCGCGCCCTTCCAGACCTGCGCCACCAACCCCACCAAAAACATCACCACCATTGAGCGAGCAATCGTGGTGCTGTTTTTGGTGGTGGTGGTGGTGGTGGAGGTGTGTGTGTATCTGCTGTGCACATACCTCTATAAATCTGTGTACCCGTGCGCGTGTACACGTGCGCGCGTGCCCGTGCGTGCGCGTGTACCCGTGCGTGTGTACACGTGCGCGCGTGCCCGTGCGTGCGCGTGTACCCGTGGGCGTGTACACGTGCGCGTGTACACGTGCGCGCGTGCCCGTGCGTGCGCGTGTACCCGTGCGCGCGTGCCCGTGCGCGCGTGCCCGTGCGTGCGCGGGCACCCGTGCGTGCGCCCAGCGTGCCGCGCGTTACCTGGACCCGTGTCGTAGGGGCGCGGCTCCACCTCGTAGTGGTGCACGCGGCCCCTGCACACGACGGACAGCACCAGGCCGCCCACCGTGCTTGTGCTCTTGCGCAGCAAGAAGAGGCCCTCGACGAAGCCGGCGGCGCGCAGGTGGCCCTCGGCCTCGTCGCGGCCCACGTGGCCAAAGTAGTAGGGCAGCGGCTCCCCGCTCGCGTCCATGGCTCCCACCCGCTAGCGAGCGAGTGACACCGTCACCCCCCTCCCTCCCCCCCGTGTAGGGCGTTCTCTGTGCGTGTGCGCTCCGTGTCCCAGTGGCGGAGAGTCGGAATTGTCTCACAATTTGCCTTTGACCTAAGAGCCTCCTTGTCTCTCGCACCCGAGTCTCGGAATCTTCTCGTGCCAGAATCTTCTTGTCGATGAGTCTGATGTCTTGGTCTCGACGGTGCTGTCCTGTCTCCCCTGTTCCCGAGTCTCTTGGCGTCAGCCGAGTCTGCGTGTGTCTCCACTCATCGCCGTCCTCTCCTGCTCCTCCACCTCCCTCTCTTATCTCTAATCGAGTCGTTCTCCGTGGGACACCGAAGAGGTTGGGCGATTCCCGTGGTCACGATTCATTCCAAGCAGACGCAGGCATCTGCACAAGCAGAGCAGTGTCACCATGATCATCAGCAGCAGCAGTAGCAATACATCCATCATGAATAGCAGCATCATCATCAGCAGCAATATTATCATCTTCGACATCAGCATCATCAGCATCACCACCGGAAGCAATAGCATCAGCAACATTGTCATCAGCATCATCAACATCAGCAGAAGTAGCATTATTATCATCATCAGCAGAACAAACTTCGTCTCGACCATCGGCCATCACCGTCCCTCCTGGCCGCGACGCCCGTCCTGCTGCCCAAGCCCCTCTCAGTCCCCGTCACGGCGATGCCTCGAACCTGCGGTGCGTTCCCTAGCGCGCGTGTCTCCTCTCTCTCCGACTCGCCAAGCGCGCGTCTCTCCGCGCTTCGCGGCGCACTTCTCTCGATTGTTCGTTCCCTCGAGTGGCCGCGCCGTTCCCGAGCCTCGTCGCTGCGGCTCCTCGAACCTCGTCGCTGCGGCAGCGCCACGCGTCGTCGGCGGTGGCGGCCGTGGTTTTTAATCTTCAGGCCAAAATTCCAAGTCATGAATCCTCCACCACCCGACGTGGTTATCACGTTTACACCCACGATGTCGATTGCTTTTTACTATTTGTATTTGACCAGGTAAGGCCCACTGAGCTATTATCGCTCTTTATCAGAAGCGACCTGGCCACAAATGACAGCTCAACGAAGTGGCTTGTCGTCACGTGGACATTTATAGCAGCCCAATACTCTAAAACGCGTGTTTCTAAATGTGGAGGGGATAAAAAACGGAGGACACGGAGAAAAATCCACACGACCACAGGAAGAGAAAACGCAAACACCAAATATACAACAGACATCAGGGTCGGGATCGAAGCCTCGAACTCCCTGCACACCAGGCGAGGAAGTTAACATCTCACCACATCGCCGATGCGTCGACCCCATTCTCCGCGCGGCCTCGCACCTCGTCGCGGACTGAATTAAACATCGACCGCGCTTCTCTCTCAGTCTGCCGCGAGCTGCTCCCAGACACCCAGAGCCGCGGTGGTGGTGGTGGTGAAAGTTCCCCTAGGAACCTAAGATTCTAAATCTCGACTGCCTGGCCTGGTCCTGGACCGCCTGAGGAAAGTTGCACGTTTAACACTTAAGGCTTTCGCGACCAAGATTATCCATAAAAGTTGGGAGCGAGCGAGAGAATGCGATCGTGGCTTGCGGCTGGGGTTGGCGTTTACACCCCCCGCCTCGCCCTGATGTCGAAAGGGGAAATGGTCGAATTTTAGGACCTCGGCTCACGCAGCTGCAATGGACTGCATCTGGAACGCAGTAGAGAAGTCTCCAGAACCCCCGGCTGCCAGACGAGGTGTCCCAGCGAGCTGAGACAGCGCCGGGCTCTCCCTCTCTCGCTTTCTCTCGCTCTCCCCGTCTGGAACGTTCCCACCACAGCTCCACGTTGCAAGGTTTTCATGTCTCGCTGCGAATTCCGCTGGGTGTCTGCGAGACCGGAGTGAGCGGCACGCGACGCGTAGTCACAGCCATCGTGAGAGGAGGTATGGTGGAAATGACGTGCGTTCACCACTATCACCCATCCTACCTTACCACCACCCTCACCACACCATGATCACCCCACCTCCTCACCACTACCACCCTCCCTCCTCGCAACCACCCTCCCTCCTCACAACCACCCTCACCAGGACGACCCCACCTCACCACCACCCTCACCACTACGACCAACCTCACCACCACCCTCACCACTACCACCCTTCCCCCTCACCACAAGTACATCTTATCGCCTCCCTTGTGTCACATGGTGCCGTGAAAGGAAGCAGATGTCCATACTTCCGTGAAGCTAACCACGGGCTCACCTTGCAGCCCAGCTGGCTAACCCCATAGCTAACAGGGCCCCATAGCTAGCACAGATGTCCAATCCAACAACAGAAACTGCTGCGCAATCCAAAAAACACATCTCTAGTCCAAAACCAAACCAGATCTCAGTCCCAAACCAAACCAGATCTCTGGCACAAACCAAACCAGATCTCAGTACCAAACCAAACCAGATCCCCAGACCAAACCAGATCTCAGTACCAAACCAAACCAGATCTCTGGACCAAACCAGATCTCAGTCTCAAACCAAACCAGATCTCTGGCACAACCCAAACCAGATCTCAGTACCAAACCAAACCAGATCTCTGGCACAAACCAAACCAGATCTCAGTCCAAAACCAAACCAGATCTCAGTACCAAACCAAACCAGATCTCAGTCCCAAACCAAACCAGATCTCTGGCACAACCCAAACCAGATCTCAGTACCAAACCAAACCAGATCTCCACACCAAACCAAACCAGATCTCAGTACCAAACCAGATCTCAGTACCAAACCAAACCAGATCTCAGTACCAAACCAAACCAGATCTCGGTCCCAAACCAAACCAGATCTCTGGCACAAACCAAACCAGATCTCAGTCCCAAACCAAACCAGATCTCTGGCACAAACCACACCAGATTTCAGTCCAAAACCAAACCAGATCTCAGTACCAAACCAAACCAGATCTCTGGCACAAACCAGATCTCTGGACCAAACCAAACCAGATCTGAGTACCAAACCAAACCAAATCTCTGGCACAAACCAGATCTTTGGACCAAACCAAACCAGATCTGAGTACCAAACCAAACCAAATCTCTGGCACAAACCAAACCCGATCTCAGTACCAAACTAAATCAGATCTCTGGCACAAACCAAGCCAGATCCCCAGACCAAATCAAACCAGATCTCTGTCCCAAACCAGATCTCCGGACCAAACCAAACCAGATCTCTGGACCAAACCAAACCAGACCTCTGGACCAAACCAAACCAGATCTCAGTACCAAACCGAACCAGATCTCTGGCACAAACCAGATCTCTGGACCAAACCAAACCAGATCTCAGTACCAAACCAAACCAAATCTCTGGCACAAACCAAACCAGATCCCCAGACCAAATCAAACCAGATCACAGTACCAAAGCAAACCAGATCCGCAGACCAAACCAGATCTCAGTACCAAACCAAACCAGATCTCTGGCACAAACCAAACCAGATCTCAGTACCAAACCAAACCAGATCCCCAGACCAAACCAGATCTCAGTACCAAACCAAACCAAACCAGATCTCTGGCACAAACCAAACCAGATCTCAGTACCAAACCAAACCAGATCCCAGTACCAGACCAAACCAGATCTCAGTACCAAACCAAACCAGATCTCAGTACCAAACCAAACCAGATCTCAGTACCAAACCAATCCAGATCTCTGGACCAAACCAGATCTCAGTACCAAACCAGATCTCTGGCACAAACCAAACCAGATCTCAGTACCAAACCAAACCAGATCCCCAGACCAAACCAGATCTCAGTACCAAACCAAACCAGATCTCAGTACCAAACCAATCCAGATCTCTGGACCAAACCAGATCTCAGTACCAAACCAAACCAGATCTCAGTACCAAACCAGATCTCAGTACCAAACCAGATCTCAGTAACAAACCAAACCAGATCTCTGGACCAAACCAGATCTCAGTCCCAAACCATACCAGATCTCTGGCACAAACCAAATCAGATCCCCAGACCAAATCAAACCAGATCTCAGTCCCAAACCAGATCTCAGTCCCAAACCAGATTTCCGGACCAAACCAAACCAGATCTCTGGACCAAACCAGATCTCTGGACCAAACCAAAGCAGATCTCTGGCACAAACCAAACCAGAGTTAAACCGATTGAGAGCCACACAGACTACAATTATCTTCAAATGAGACCCTGGGCGTTTATAAAGTCTCACAGGCTTCCATGGAAACCCGGAGACTTGCATAGAATCACATAGAGACCCACATACTTATGTAGAGACCTATAGATGCACACGTAGATCCATAGATTTACATAACCCAAATACTTACAGAGAGCCATAGACTTACAGAGATATATTTAGGCGTACCTATAAGTGATCCGTTGAGCATATAAATGACAATTACAAGTCGTAGTTATTATGAATAGAAGAGCGAACCTAATTTAAACGTAAGCTAAAACACAAAGTGCAAAAACAACAAAAAACTCAACAGCTACACGGAAAACGAGATTAAATTAAATCCAAGGTGTAATGGAAATTAAATAAGCAGAGCGGTGATGCAGCGGTTTGTAGCGCACTGTGCTACAAACCGAGCACCCAGAGTTTGACTCGCGGCCATGGGCAATGGTGTTCTATCCGAAACAGACATGTCGCCTCCCTCGAGTACACCAACCCGCACTAACCAGCGTACTGAAGCATGGCCAAATGATCACCAGGACCGGCTGGGCGCAATCACACGTGCGCATGGTTTGGACTCCATCTGTGCCTTCTGTACTGGGATAGAGTGTTGTCCCTCTCGCACGCGTGAGTTGTCTCCCCCGACACGTATAATGGGAATAATAAACACTCGTCATCGATTGACTGAAAACTCCTCGTTCTGTGGGCGCCTTCGCGAGCTGCGTGTTGCGCAGCGTGTGAAATGGGGTTCGCACGAACGAGGCGAGTTCGTAACCCGACCCGGGCTATTATTGCTGCACACGGGCGTGCGAGTTACCGAAATCAGTCGACAGCTTGCAGAGGCATTCCCCTCGCCGTAGCCAGACCATGGTTCTCTGACCGCTCTTCTATCGCCGCTGCTGCTACGACTACTGCTGCCACGGTTCCTGTTCCCGTGAGCCTCACTCCTTGATTCCTCCAGCCGTGTCGAGGACTCGGCTTCTGCCAGACTCAGACTGTCGGCTTTTATCAGACTCAGACTGTTTCGTCTCATCCCCCGCCACTGCTCCGCTTTTGGGAATTCCCTCTCCCATCACCGTCATCATCGTCGACGTCTCTTTTTTTTAAACTAAAACTCGTGCAACCATCACCCCGCTCAACTCGATAAAACGCGTTTCGTACCCCTTGCTCAATACACCTGCAATAGTGCTGTTTGCGCTGTAGGAGCGACGGGAGGGACAGGTTTCGGGGGTCTTGGGGGGTCCTTGGCTCAGCCGC